CAAGGAAAAACACACTTATTTTAAGAAAAAATAACTTATTGAGATTTCTATTTTTTGCAGTGCAGTATTTCTTTAAACGATACCCCGGGTCTTTCTACCTATGAAAGTAAGGCCCCAGGAAAAATGAAAATTTCCAGAAAAATCTGTATTAAAATCCACTTTCTAATGCATTTTTAAAACCAACGAAAAAGGAGCTATATAAGAAGAGTAGGAGCAAATAGCAAAAATGGGATTAGATCTACAGCTGTTACATAAGCATTGAAATATTGTCTCGTTGAAAGATAAATTCTCCAGCTTCTGGAGACAAAGTCAGATAATTCCTAATTCAGCTTTCCCTTTAGTGCTGTGCATGTTGTTTTTCCAGTTTTATTTTTAAAAACTCAACAATCCATTAGCAACACGGACAATAGAGCTATTAGCAACACAAACTAAGTACAGGAAATGTTTGTACGTTTTATGCAGTATAACAATCCCCACTGATATAAAATCTCTGAGTTCAATCATAAGTGAAAGAAGTGCCCTTGACTTAACCCTTCTGCACACATCATTCCATTCAGTGTCACTGGATCATATTTCATCTGGTCAACAGGAAGAGTAACATGTCTTCAACTAGGCCTATATTGACAGCTACTGTACTGCAGAGCATCATCAGGGGCACATTTTGGAGTTTTAAAAAGGAAAAAAAAAATCCTATCATGCAGAATCTCTAAAATGGAATATAAAGGATGCAAACGCAGAAAATGTTCGTTATTGATGCACCAAATATAACATTAAGGCTGTCAAATAGCCTCTTCCTTAGATTTAGGTGCAGATTAAACATTGGATCTGAACCTCCTTCCTTAGACATCATAAGCCTTTAAATAGCAGCACGTCTGATTCAGAACTGAACACCCAGGGAGCGAGCAGAGAACGTGGCTACTGTCCAGGTATAATTAAGAGGATGAGAACAGAAAGACTCCCATGCTGACAGGATATAAATCAGCATCAAACATAACAGCAGGGACAGGGAGACAGACGGAGACTGTCTTCACAGGTTCATATTGTTGTTTTCCTGCAGATCAAAGGCATTTCAGGGAGAATCAGCAGCAAATCATAAAAGTTCATACCATTAAAAAAAAACCTGGTTTGAAATATTTGGAAAAATACATTTGGAAGAATTTCCTGCAAGTTTGTTGGTAAACAAGAAATATCTCCTTCTGAACTGGTTCAATTTGAATCTGTTTGAGCAACATAGCTGAGCACACTGCATGTTTTTTTTTTAGCACCACTTCATTTTTTCCTTGGTGCTGAAAATATGGAAGTTGAAATAATTAATGAAGCTTTTAATAGAATTTTAGGTCTAGATCTGTGTGACTCAGCTTAAATTTCATCCTCATCTGGAGATAATCCCCTGGATTTACTGTATAAACTTGGGTGACTTGAGTTACAAGCACAGATAAAACTGCCTGAAACTTGTCTAGACTTCCAAAGCAACAGGAATGGGGATTGATGGTTAATTAAAAAATAGAAAACAGCAAGAAATCAGCTGAAATATCCAAACATATTATATTCAATGTGTATAAACTGATACTGAGATTAACTTTACAAACTTAAGTCGCCTTAAATCTCTTAAGATGCAAAGGTAGTAGCCAAACTGAGCTTCATAATGGCCACAAAGTTAAGTCCAAGATGTGACCTTTAAGAAACATAACTGGTATAAAAAGAGCAGTTTAGTCAAAGAATCGCCCATTAATGTCAGCAAGCTTTCCAGGACCCACAGCTGCAAAAACAAGCCCACATCACCATCACTCACCACCGTGTCTGACAGTTAATAAGGTGATTTCTTCACTTGTTTTCAGAAAATGACCATATAGCCCATCTAAGATTGATGGAAAACAACAATAGCTCTAATAATGACATTGATGCTTTTTTTTGTATGTTTCTTTCCATCGTGATGTCATTGCTGTCGTCATTTATCTGGCTATTTTGCCAACACATTCAACTGTCTTTCCACCCTTTCATTTGGCTAAAACAAACCTGGCATGACTGAAAGATTTAAATCAACAATACGCCTGATGATGCCCCTCCAAAAAAGATAACAGAAACCATTGGTGTGTAAAATGATTAGAAAACAAAGATAATAATAAAAAAGTCAATTAGAACCAAACAAACATCCAGCACTGTATGCATAGTCTCTTGTAACAAAAAAATAAATTATTGCAAAAATTAGCAGTATAGTGTAAAATACAAGCTATTTTGCACCATAAGGGATCGGAGAAGATGTTCAAACTGTGTCAATGAGAGCAGGTTTCCCAAATAAGCGAAATGTTTGCACTGAAAATGAAGAAAGGCATGGCAGTGAAGCCACAGAGGGGGCGACTGCAGGAACTTACCTGCTCTTTAACAGAAGCCAGGAGGTTGTTGGTGGTTGGTGTGGCGGCGCTGGACTCACACTGGCGGCCTTGACGGCTTGGCCCTTCTCTGACCACCATGGGCCCTTCCCCTCCTGCATCAACTTCCTCCATATCCTCCACGTCCACAGATCTGTCTGGCTGCTGCACGCTCCTTCTCTGACCCTGCAGGATGGTCAGGATATGGTTTAATGCTTCCATAATCATGCTGACATCACTTACAGTAATCATTGTTGGTTTTAATTGCAGGGATTCTCCCTCTGAGCTGCTGAAATATCTCAGACTCTATGGTATTCCACCAATAAATTATTGTTTCCTATGATTGGGCTTTTTTTTTCAACTAGATAGAAGATATTTTCTCAAGCATATGATTTTTTTGAATGATCAGGTCATTCAGGAGGATTTAACCCCTCATCATTTGGTCATGCAGCTGCAGATTTCTGCACAGGTGCTGTGCACGCTCACACACACACACACACACACACACACACACACACTGAGGGCTGCATCCTTCCTCTCTATATCTCAGGTCTCCATAAAACACTGGAGCCAAGCGTGTTTACAGGTGAACATGCACCATGCATGAGGTGCATGCGACCCCCCGTTATGATAAAACGTGCAGCCTGATTGTGATCCTTGCACCCCCATCCCATCATCCACTAACCGGCAGCCAAGGACGAGGTCACACCGCCTCAGAGAACCAGAGCCAGCGACGCTCCCCGCCCGCCGCTGCGCGCGACTCCCCGGCCAGATGTTGCTGATAGGAGCAGGCCACAGCTGGCTCAGTCCGCATCCATCCTCTCCCTGCAAAGCGGCCGTGACAGCTACTCCATTGCCGCGCGCGCCGACGTCACAAACAAGCAAACAGCCGCGTGCGCGTCCTCGCGCTTCTCCTTGCAATTATGATTCCCCCTTTGCCTTTGTTTGCGTCCAATTAATCCCGTATGCGCGTTTCGGAGGGGTCAAACGCTTCCTGGCGTCCCGGCTGCACCCTGCCACGGGCGCTGAGCATCAGCGGCGTGACGTCACCATGCGGCTATGGATTATTTCCGATCGGAAGATCGATGAGGAGCCGCGGCTGGAGCCGTTCAGCAGCGGCAGCTCCTTGCAGAGCTCTCCGGTGGAGAGGAAGGATGCAGCCTGCAGAGCTTAGTGTGTGTGTGAGAGCAGGGGCGGATTTAGGAAATCTGGGGCCCTAGGCAAAGACAGGCAGGGGACCCATTATACAGATAGAGAAATGTTAATAGAATAGACATCCATTATTAGTTCTAGGTTTTCTCCCTTTCTTATATTTCTTATATTTCACAAAACATATTTTTCTCTATGTTTTGTGATGATTTTTCATGCCGTTGTAGGTACCAGATTGACTC